TGCAGCCAAGGAGCAGCAACTAACTCGAAGCAAACGGAGAATCAATTCTCCTGCCCGTCTCGCTAGTTTGTCAGCTGGATTTTAGATGGAAAAATCTTGCGTGGCTACGAAGTCAAAGGTCGTTAACGACTGTCGGTGGTCGACCCTTAATTGGGACGGCCCTAATCGGTTCCCAATTTTCGGGGACAGTTCTCGGTGACTTTAACGAGTTTGATGTAGCCAGCATAGAGATGGCGGTGAATCGAGGATGACGAGGACAGAACATGATTTCCCTCACCATCTATATAGAACGAAAAAAGCAAAGTACGATGAAGCAAGGATATAGGAGCAGACATTGGTTCTGTGGATTTAGCTTTTCGTTTATTCGAAGAAAAAATGTTGATGAACGTTAACTTTCGTTCAGCTGGCGATTATTCGATTATAATCAGTTCCAAGGTCCAAATTATTAGATGGAGATTATTATGCGAGTCAGCTTTCTATAATTCATCCTTATGAATCAAGTCCTTACTCGAGGTACTAGCTAATTTATGGCTTTGTTCGATTATAATTAATATAACATTATGAAAGAAAAAACTCGCCAGATCGACGAACAAAAGACTTGTCCTCGGACAATTTTAATCGATCGACGCATAGAACACGAAACACGTACACAAATGACGAGATGGGGTGTCGCCGCGACTTCTGATAGGGCGCAGAAAACAATGAGTACCACCCGTACGTGGTTTTTATTCAACGAAGAATTGCGTTGTTGGTGAATCTGAAAGAGTCGCGTGCGCTCCAATTTGGTTCTAATAAGCACGGTATTGTTTGAAAGATCAAGGGTTGTGACTCACATTAAGCATAGGACTTAACGCGCGGTGACCACTTTGTTTTCTAATATAAATCAGATTCCTTTCAGGTTCCTTTCTACTTTGTTTCTTAATTCTTAATTGTCCTTTGAATATCAACAGATATGTCGACATCGATCGATTAATTTAATATATCTAAAATTGTAACTTACCGTGATGTGCTGGATATAGCGACTGTGGTATCGATACGGGATTGTATGGTGGTGACACTCCATTGTAGTTCGTGTAATGTCTACGTACAAAAAGAAATACCTGTGTTTATATGTTCGTGCTAAATTGATTAAATACTACAAATACTATAAAGATATTATTGTAACCTACCTAAGTATTCTTCGACCTGCATCGTTCAATGTAACTACTTCCATGGCAGGAATGAAACCAATTTTTGGTTTCCAAGTGTTTCCAGTATTACGATTCATGTGATCAAAGTCTTGAGGTTTCAAAACTCTCGGTGGCTCTCTGACACCCTTCAACTTCCTCGCAGGGAAAATGAAACTACTACTATATTTTGGATCTCTGAATCTGGCACTATAACAGAAAAAAGATGAAAATTGTACTTCCGATTTAAGATGAAATAAGTATTTTTATTTTAAGATTTAGTGTATTTCGTACGTACCAATATACTTTGTTATTCCTAACTGGTAGACCGTTTATGGGTGAAGGTAAAGTAGCCCCATCTCCGACGCAATCGTCTGCTAATAAAACCATACCTCGCATATTGTCTATGCATATTTGAGTTTCTGCGTCGAATAGTACGTGATTCGTATAAAGTCCCTTTATAAAATTATAACCACTATTGCCAAGTCCTACGTATAGCCGATTGTCTCCTTGAACGTTTCGTTTCTCTGAAAACATTAATATCGATATTAAATTATGAACTTTAAAGAAATCATATACTTAAATCTTATTATTTACTGAAATAGACGTCGTACTTTCTGCTTCTGTTAAGCAATCGTAATAAGGCTCCAATGCCTTGAACAATCGTTTCTCGTCCACAAAAGGAAGTAGAGCTATTCCTTGCCAAGCAAATTTTTTACCGTTTAAATCGATCTTAAAATCTTCCGGATAGAAGTCGATAATCGGCGATCTCTAATGCAAGTTAATATAAAAAATTTGATAAGTATCGGAAATTATATGTCATATAATTTACATATAACGAATTTCAACCTACTGGATTGATCATTAATTTTGCCCACGGCGCAGGGATATGTTTACTGCTAGCTGCTGGAAATACACCCATCAATTGCTCTAATGGACGGAACTAAAACATCCAAAACAAGGTAAATACATTCTTTGCAATGATCGATTCAATCTCAAAGTACTTACTGGTGTAGTTCCTTTCTCAAATTCGGTAGAAAGACCACCGATATTGATGAAATCGCTAGCGAATGGCGCGTAATGATACGGAAAATACCATTTCCATGAAGCACAACCCTGATAGTAATATCGTAAAACCCAACATAAACCGCGCACATACTGCAACGCTACGTTATTCCTGTATGTGATTAAATAAAATTTATTACAATTCAGAATCTACGTGATATATTTCATCGTATAACTTATCTTACCTGAATGCTAAATTATCAGGAGACACATCGAATTTCGATTCGTAATAACGATCTTTAAAGCCATCCTCCCACAATCTAACTTCATCGTGTACTTGATCGTCGTCCGAGTCATCTTCAGCTGACTCTCTTTTACGTTTCATTACTTGATTAGTTGAATTCTACGAACAGTCGATATATTTACGAACATACTATGCACGAATAAGAATAGAGATCTAGAACGTACCTCAGGACGCATCATACTTTCTAACATCTCCTGAGAACTTCTTTTTCCACTTGTATGATAATTTTGACCACAAACACGCATCTGATAAGCTTCGTAACGTGCGTTTTGTACTGGACTCACATGTTCACCAATACGCTGTAATAAAAATTATATATATTAAACGGTACTATTAAGATAAATCTTTACTAACTGCGAATTAAAACATACAGTTGGTGCAAATTGTCCCGTAGGAATCCACTTTGGTTTATTATTACCGATTCCCAGCGATAGTTTCTTTTTATCTTTTTCACGTTGCTTGAAGGCTAATTCATTCTGTTGTCTTTTCTTGAAAATTTCGTCTTCGACATCGCCCAGCTCAGACATTATAAGTTGAACTCTGTCCAAATTTACATCTCCGCTATCTGTCAAAAATCCCTGTAATTAAGTGTTATTATTGAATGCTTCTTGCTTTATTTACTGTACATATGAACAGCTGATCAGATATTTTTGTCTTTAACATGTATTACGTACTCCTGTTTTATATACAGCTTTTTTATACAAATTAACGAGTCTATCAATTGCTCCTTCTCTAATCTCCAAAGATGGAAGATGCGGAAGAAAATCGTTTCCTACGAAGAAACACATGAACACCCAATCATCGATAACTCGCTCGAAATCGTATTTAAATGGTAGATTAGGCATTTGCAACTCTCTTTCTAAGTATTCTCTGAGGACATTTAACCGCACAAATATATACTGGCATTCGGATCCAAAAGTATTTGTTTCGTCTCCTTGATTAACCTCTGCACCTGTACACTCCTGCATTTCATGTCCTAATTGACCACATATATCGCATGGTTTCGGCTTATTTGGCTTAAATTCTTCACGAATAATAGTAAAATTAGGTTCGTGCGTTGCAAGACCTAACATAATTAAATCAGCATCGGCTCCACATAAAACGTGTTGTGTGTTGGGATCATGATCCGGTTGTGCTGTTACATAAAAAAAAATATTTTACATTTAATGTTCCATATAATACAATGATATTTTAAATATTTAATTGTTTACTTACCTCTTTGTTTACGTATAAAATCCATTATTTTATGTTCTCCTTCGCCTGGTACATTCGCATCGCTTAAAATTACTTTTATATTTCTCCAACCAGGATCATTGTTTAAACGATCATGTATGTAGTAATGCAAACACTGTGACAATCTTGCCATAAATGGTGTGCCCTGTAATTTAATTATATCCAAAAATTATTCTTCGTATATGGGATTTAATATATCAAAAAAATGTTATACAAACCGGCGTAATACAATTACTATCAAAATGATCTTCTTTTGGTTTTTCTGGGGGCAAGGACGCCCCTTTGAGAGTTAATTCAGAACGTATTCTCTTTATTTCATTAACTTTTTCACTTGCTTCTTTTGAAGCTCTAAATCGTCTTGATCTCTGTTGGTTCATTTTTGCTCTGGGTGCCTATAGACATAATCAAAGTGAATATAATAATTGTACACACGCAAATTCTTTAACAGTTTCATATAAACGCTTACAACTCCATCAATTGCCATGTAAAGTAATTTTCTTGGTCTCACAATACGAAATAAGCGATCAATGCATTCAAAAATGGCTTCCATCATTTCTTCCTCATTTTTTGGCGCTGGCCTATAAAGATATTATATGATGTTTGTTTAATCATCTTGTAAACTAATAATTACTATACCAAAAATACTTACTTATCTTCTGGATGAGTACAAGGATGTATGATACCATTCATGTCAAGATACAAGTTGTCAAATTCTATTCCGTTTGGATTAGGATCTGCCGAATTCACAGGTACCCGTACACCATTCGTAGTTATCGGCTATAAAGTCACAATAAAAATACAAGTTTTACATCTACTTTTGTGTATTACAAGGGGAATATTCTTCACAAAAATAGACAATCTAACCTACCTTTTGCTCGATACATTCTACTATTATAGAAGGATACTTCCGACTCAACCATCGAAAAAATGCTGGTACACCCATATTTTGGTTTGGATCGTCGTGTTTCCGTACACGGCACACGTCTTTCTTTAATCGTTTTCCAAAAATTTGTATATAAATTAAACGAGCACAACTGTTTTCACTGTTCACCCATATTTAACCTATAACATAGATTTACGAAACCCTAAACTCTATCAGTATATACATATATACAATCTTCACGTGCTGCCATCTTCGGCAGTGTATATACGTCATAAAATTGACAACGTTAAATTGTAAATAATAATAAGAAAAAGGCATTAAATATAAAGGGATTGGGGTTTGTATAGCATTTTAAATAAATTGATCAATGCTATATTTACAAATATAAATTTTTCTAAGAAAAAATGCTGACTGATTAATATGAAAATTAAATATATAATTATTTTACTTTACCACTCCCTATATTTTAGCTCTTAAGATTGCTTTATATACCGGTAGTAAGTGTGGAAAAAACATATACATATAATCGTAGGTAAACGAACATAATAGAGCGTTATTGAATATTTCAATTTTTTGTATCTACCATTAGAAGTATGTTCAATGTAAATAAATGTAATCATATTACCTACAAAAAAATATTCAATTTAATCTAATCGAAAATTATAGTTTCTTTGTTTGCATGATTAGGTAGATAAACTTTAATTAGCCTGTGGCATAAATGTTCAAATAAGATGCTTATTTGCATATCTTACTAATCTTCATTTTACTAAATAAAAGACAATTATTTTTTCAGCACGTTATAAAACATGCAAAAAGGTTTTCTCAATATGCAAGAAAAAAATATTTTACATGGACCGCCATTGCCCGATTTGGAATTCAAGAATATAACATTAGGACAATTGATATTAAATCAATTAAGTATTCGTGGTTCTTGGGTAGCACAGGTAAATCATATTTTATTACGTTAAAAATCATTTAGGAATAATACATTTGCTTCATATTAACTGAAAATACAAATTTTTTCAGATAAATGCTTATACAGGAAAATCACAAACTTTTAAAGATATTTTAGACATTAGTCGGAAATTGGCAATTGCCTTTAATAGAGAAGGGCTAAAAAAAGATGATCGAATAGCTATATGTAGTGAAAACAATCTAGAATTTTGTCCAGTTGTATGTGCTGCATTTTACTTAGGTATTACTGTCTGCCCATTAAATCCACTTTATACAGAAAGGGAATTAAAACATGCATTAAATATATCAAAACCAAAATACATTTTTGTATCAGCAATCGGAGCAAAGAACATATACAAAGTTATTCCTCAGTTATTCTGGTTACCAAAGCTTATAATGTTAACAGAAGCCATTAACAGTAAATTACCAAGTATTAAAACTCTAACATCAAACATAATTATTGACAACAACTTCCATGCCTGTTCTGTAGATGTTAATGATCATGTGACAGTTATTTCATGCTCTAGTGGCACTACAGGATTGCCAAAAGGAGTAATGTTAACAGACAAAAACTTTTTGTCTGTGATAAAAAATCTTGCAGTTGCATCGCCTAATATTGTAAATACCAATACAACAGGTTTAGCTTTATTACCATTCTTCCATGTGTATTCCTTTTCCGTGATGCTGGTAGCACTCGTTTTTGGAAATAAAAACGTAATTCTTCCACGTTTCGAAGAGAAACTATTCTTGCATGCCATAGAAAAGTACAAAATCGAGCACATAACTGTTGTGCCACCACTTATGGTGTTTTTAGCGAAACATCCTATTGTAGATAAATATAATTTATCTAGCATTAAAGAGATTTGGTGAGTTCAATTATTTAGCATATCCCACTAGAAAATGATGTTTTATTTTATCAAAAATCGAGAATTCGTATCCTTCACTTAATTAGGTGTGGTGCTGCGCCTTTATCTGAGGAAATTGCAAAGATGGTCGTAAAGAGATTAAATATGCCAATAATAAAGCAAGGATATGGATTAACAGAAACTACTTTGGCAGTGATGAATTCACCTGATAATAATACAAAATATACAAGTGTAGGAACATTAGTTCCAGGAGTATCAGGTAAAAACTAAAAAGTTATGTTTTACAAATTTGTTTCTGATATCTCTTTTTAACATGTAGCTAAAGTAATACCAATTGATGGAGATGAATCAAGTAAACCCCTAGGACCAAACAATGTAGGAGAATTATGTTTCAAAGGAGATATAATAATGAAAGGGTACTGCGATAATGAACAAGCTACCGCGGCAACAATCGATAAAGATGGTTGGTTGCACTCAGGAGATGTAGGATATTACGACGAACAGGGCTATTTCTATATAGTAGATCGTATGAAAGAACTTATTAAATACAAGGGATTTCAAGTTCCACCAGCTGAATTAGAAGCAATATTATTAACTTGCCCTGAAATTAAAGACGCGGCGGTTATTGGACTACCGCATGAAGAAGCAGGCGAACTACCGGCTGCTTTTGTTGTTAAGCAAGAAGGATCTAATATAACAGCAGAAGATATTATTAAATTCGTAAATGGTAAATTGTTTAACTAACATGCTAATTTTTGAATTAGCTGTTTCATACCTAATCAATAGAAAATGTTTCAGAACGTGTATCAAGCCATAAACGACTTCGAGGTGGTGTTAAATTCATTGAAAATATTCCACGAACTGCATCGGGAAAAATCTTACGACGAATCCTGCACGACACACTCAAATCAAAATTGTAAAAAATTGACAAAAAGAATGAGACATTTCCAATTTAAATATATTCTTCCTTTATATTTACATTTGTTCCAAAGAGGCTTAAAAGATGCTATAACTATAGATATTTAGTGAACTTGTATCAGAACATATTTTTAATTCTTACTAAATTATAAAAAGTTTGAAATGCAAAAAGAAAAAGGTTGAAATTTTCTATTCTAGCCATATTCTCAGAATCTTTTAATATCCCATTTAAATATATATTAAAACATTTTCTATAAAGTTATAGACACTACTGTCCTAATTTTTGCTTTATTTCGTATGGTATGTGATTTAAATACCATTGATGAGTTTGACCAGGGGCAGTAGCTAACACACCTTTGTCATTTGAATATGCTGTTTCTGCATTATAGGAATATTGCTCTCCATAAAAGTCAGTTAGTGTACCACCAACTGCATAAAGAATAGCTTCAGGGGCACAAGTATCCCACCTTTTGCAACCTTTACTAGCGAACACATAAGCATGAGCCTTGCCTTCCATTAAAAGTATCACCTGTTGAATGTATATATCGTATATATTGTATATATCATATATATAAAATACTACTAAATAACTAAAAGACAATTAACTACACTAATTATATTACCTTATACCCTGCACCACCAACTCGTAAAACTTCATCAGGAGACAAAGCATTTATAGCTGCTTGAACATTGCTATTTGAATGTGAACTGAAAGAATGTAACATGTTTGTAATTTTCTGTTTAAAACAACAGCAATCTTAACCATTTTAAAATCCAATTATACCTTGTAGTTGTAATTATTCTTTTTCCTTCTGGTGGAGGAGTTGGTGCAAACCCACCAAATCCTACACCATTAATACCCCAGAGAGTGCGTCCTAGTATTTCATTTTCTGTATTTTTATAATACGGCTGATGAATTATACCTCCAACTGCTCTATGTCCAACTGCCACTCCTACTAGTACTGTAACATGTTCCACAAGACCTTGTGCATACTCTGACGTTCCTAAAAATATTAGTTCAATTCCATATACATATTTGGCAAATAAACTATGATAACATAAGATGACTGAAACAAACAATATACATATATACCATCCAATGGATCTACCCAAATACACACATCTTTAGGATCAATATCTTCCAGATAGGCTGGTAACTTTAATTTTAGTACTTCTTGATCCACATCTGTTACAATCCAATCAGACGGTACTTCACAGTTTGATGCTCCTTCTTCACCAATAATGGTAATATTTGGAAATTGCTGGCTTAATGAAGCAATAATACACCTTTGAGCACAACGATCAGCTTCAGTTTGTAAATCATCCTTGCCTTTCTCTACTATATTTAGGCCTCCATGAGCCATAACATCTCTTATAATTTTACCTGCTCTTACTGTAGCAGTTATAGAAGAAGCCACTATTCGAGATAATAAACAAGCACTTTGTGCCATTTTACAACTGTTTTTCTTAATATTAATAAAATATTCACACTTCTCTTCTTAAAAGAAACTGAATCTCTTATTGGTAATGCTTCAAATATATACTATACATATGATTGCGTCCAGTATCCGGATCACAAGCTATAAGAAAATTAAACAAAAAGCTTAGAAAGTAATGTTAACTCTCAAGGTTATATTGGGCAAAACACACATTAGATTCTTACCAAAGTTACATACTAATTCTTTAATATAGTAGCAATAAATTAAATAACAAAATTCTTCATACATATTTTTTTATACAACGGATGCTTTAACATATGTATAAAGTGAAATATAATCTTTATTCCAGTATCTTTCAGTATCAGAATCTTTATTTCTCCTCCTCCTCCCCCCCCCCCTACACTAACATTATAATATTTCGAAAAATTATTTCCACCAAAAATTTTTAATATATGTAGGTTACATTGTATATGATTTATGAAAACAATCAACTAAAGACTTTTAGAACTATTTAATTTTATTTACTTCAAATCAAAGTATCAGAAATTTAAATATGCGTTGCAAGATAGAAATCATTTATTAAACAATTTCCTTTGTTTCATTGATAAACCCATTAATAAATTAGCACTGATTGTAAATATATGTAATATAACTATTCTAAATATATCTACATATTATTATTTTCAAGTTATAAAAAAATATAAACAACGAAAAATAATTTATTCGTGAAAAGAAATAAATATAGAAAGAAAAGTTAAAATACTTACTAAATTCGTTATATCAGCTCAATTAAAACAGCAATGTACAATATTATAATAAAGCAGATAACTACCCGTATAATAACATTGTACAAACATTTAATTATGATATCAATTACAACGGATACCTATAATTTTTCAATATTATTTTTCTTTAAGCATATCATAAAGATGTTATAAAAAATTAGTATCATTTTTTAATATCACAGATCATTTTATACCAAAGCCACTCAAAGTCTCGCATTCTATCGTTCGATCTACTCTTTATGTATATATACAGATCCCACTATTAACAGATGTTCAATTATAGCAAGAGAAAGAGAAAAATGACATTTCATAACTAGATTTTCAAAATAACAATTAGAAAACGTGATAAAGTGAGATTTCTTTTATACTTTCTGTTTGTTTTCTATATCAAACTGTGATATATGGGCCTAACCTCAAAAACGTCCTTCGCAATATAACAGTTATTACTGTCCAAAGGAATGAAAACAATGTTATATCATAAATTAATAACATTATCGATTTCACGTATAGTACAAGTTAGGAAATTGCATAATGATGTCACTCATTTTTTGACAAGAAAGCGAAAGTACAAAGACAACTCAAACTATTTACATACAAAAAATGATAAGATTACTGAAATTCCTGCACCACTTTTCAAATATTTAAATGATATGAATCCAATATTTAGGGAGAAAGTTATAAAAAATTATTTGTCGCGGAATACAAATAGGGTCGATCCATATTTAATAAATGATAATGTAAGCAATGAGTTTAGTACATTGATTAAAGATGATTTATTAGAAAATATGTGTTATGTGATTGAATTAAATCCTGGCTATGGTTTATTAACAAGAAGGTTGTTAGAAGCTGGTGTATCATTTATGCATTTGTATGAAAGTCATGATGCATTTTATCAGGAACTACAAAGTTTAAAAGCAATATTTCCTAATCGAGTTAAAATAACAAAAGTGAATCTTCTTAAGATATCCAAAATGTTAAATTTAGATAAGTCAAGTAGTGCATCTCATACCCCTAATATGGACTTATGTGAACTATATAATAATGTACCAAGAAGAGAATGGGAAGATAAAAGTTGTATGCAAATAATTGGAACAGTAACTAAACCTTTATTTATAAGACACTTATTATTAAGTGTAATATTTCAAACAGGCTTCATGATGCATGGAAGAGCAATTTTTTATCTTGCAGTATCACCATCTATATGGAATGTCAGTACTATTAGTTTAGACTTTTTTCTATATACATGTCAAAACATTTTGTAACACTTTTATTCAAATGAAGCTTAAAAAACGTTTAGATTGCTATAATTGTTAATTTGTCGTCTTTTTAGATATTCAGGTGCTGCAATAAAGGAAATTTAGTTCCACAAGTTATATGTAAAATACTATTTAATATTACAATGTTTGGAACATTAGATAGAAAAGGGTTTCTACCATGGCAACAAATCAGTAAATTAAAGACTAGTAAGTCTGAATCTGAGGATTATAATCAACTATTATTTGTTGTTAAATTAGAACCAAACCCAAATCTTTTATCATTATTTGGTGGAAGGGAACACCTGATATATTTTTGGCATTTTGTTCGACATTATTTATATAAGCCATCATTGGCGATAATACCAACACTGGAGTGAGTATAACTGTATAGAAGTAAAATTTATTCAGAATGTTTTTAAAATGTATTAATATGTAAATATTTTTATTAATACAAATGTTTTAGGAGAGTAATACCAGGTTTTGGTGAAAGGTTACTAAAAAAAGATTATAATATATTTACTCAGTTTGGGGAATTGAATATCGATCAAATCATTGATCTTTATATGGAGTTTAGATCTTGTCCAGAATTTAATGAAAGTTCCTTTTTACCAAGTGGAAATGATATTAGAAGAATATATGATCCATATATGGGACCAGAATGAAGTTAATCAGTTATGAATGTGATGAAGCACTTAATAAACATAAAATACAGAAAAATATGATGTTTTGAGTTAATAACTTTTATATTCAAAGTTCATACATTTTATCTGTATTAGAAAAAGAACATAGAATTGTACACTGAAAAGTAGTGGGAGTGAAGCTTGAATTACCAGTAAATGCTTAATGTTGATTGGTCATTGATTTTTAACTTTCTTATTGTATTTAACTATACTTGCCCTTGAAATCTCCACTCACTCCAGAGTTATTTCAGATCATTCATGGGTATGGTGTACTACAAAGTATCAGCATCTTTTTATTACCTTTTTTTTATAATTGAGATTTACTTGATCACGTCTATGTTAGTATTAAACAAAAAGTCTAAATAATTTACGACTTTCAAGAAGGCCAAATACTTCTTCCAATTTTATATGAAGATCTTATTATATTGTACATAGAGAATGAAGTGGATAGTTTTTGGTATCACATTAGTAATACGCAATTATATAGTATCCTGTCAGGATATTGTATTTCCAAATAATGAAGAGATATCTCACGTGAGCGGCAATGCGGCGGTAATTATAATTAAGAGGCATAAGGAAGGAGACAACTAATCATATGATATAACGACATCAGACAATGTTTTTCTTTTTGTTTTAGATAACAGAACGTATTCCAGTGGCTGCACCAAATATATGTCCCAAAGGCATGCTTCTTTATCCTGGAGCTGGAAGTAAAAGTACATGGGTATGCGATTGTAGACCTAGATTTCTATATTTTCCATTGAATGATAGTTGTCATGAAGCATATAGACAAGGACCTTGTGCACTACAGAATTATGTTGTACTTCCTAAGGATGAAGTTATACCAAAGTGTGTGAAAAATCCTTGCCTGGAAGACGGCTTAGTACAATATAATAATACATGTTATCCTCTAAGAACTACAGGTGGTCCTTGTGCCCCTAATGGAGTAATAGGAGTGAATGAAACTACATTTGACTTAGAATGTATGTCAACAGATATTGCACCATTCATAATTATTGATCCACCTTTAAGAAAGTGTCCCGTGGGAAGCCGTAGGAATGTACTTGGAATATGTAGAGTAATTTTAACCTAATATGTTTCTATTTAACAAATTTCTGTTTTTTTAATAACCTGGTATTTATTTGTTTGGCCTCTTTCATATAATAAGTATCAATATATTATTATAATTCTGATATATTACGAGAATATATATAACATTTATATTTACAAAATATAGTTCTTATTACATTTATGTATGCTTATTTATAACATGGAACTCTTAATTTACATACATACGTTCATGGAATATAATTGTGTATATCTATACTTACAAATATCACCAATTGTATATTACATGTTCTTTATGTAATATATTTCTCAATAATATATTTTAATGCAATTTATATGATTTTTACATACTGTATATACAATTGGGCAGAAATATAATACACAATAAAAAAACTAAAATACTATCAGTTAAATTAAAGATACTGAACCTAAATCCTAATTTATAGCATAAATTGCAATTTTATACAGTCTTGATATATATAAACACAAAGATATAGCTAATAAATTATATCTTTTAAGTAAAAGCCATATTCATTTCAACATTATAACTTCTTACTTCTGTAAATACAGTTTTTCAACTCCTTAATAGATTAAATAAATCATCTTGGATCACATTAAATGTTTATGATTATATTGATTACAACAAAGTGTGCGTTTGGAAAACTGATTTCATAGGGTATAAATATTTCTCTGAAAAGTAAGAATAATAGAACAAAAAAATACTACCATTTTAAGAATTTTAGACAATCAAAATTTTTAAGTTGATTCTTGTATTTCGTTACTTCTGGCAGCTTCTATCAATCTTTGTCTTTCTCTATACATTGAAACCTTCATATTTTCTAATTGATGATATCGTAATAATTTTAGTACTGCGAATACTGACAGGCCAACCCAAATAGATAAACTGGTCCATGTACCAAATTGGACTGCAGCTAATTCAATATGAAAACCAGTTGTGTCTATACCATCAGCTTTGTCAATGTCATTTCCAGCTGCTAATTCGCAAGATGGAAATCTTTTGGTCATACATTGACACCAAGTCATAAATCCAAGCGTAATAATGATTGCAGCGATTAAAGTGATTGTTGTAAGGAATATTGAACTGACAACATCTATGAATGCAGATAGGAACGAACTGTCTTCTCCACGGTACATAAGCAGGGAAAGCCGATAAATTTGAACCGCGGATGTTAACAACAACATCAAACCAACAAATATCGTATAATTACAGTACGCTTGTGAGGCCCAATTTACTACAAACTGACCATCTGATTCTTGCCAAGTTCCTGTTGAGAACAACAGACAATGTCCTCTGTAAACAAATGTTAATCAGTGCATAACATATCTATTTCCATGTATATACATTCTAATAATATTTGTTATATCGAGACTCGGTTTTATTTAGAATGACAACTACCTAAATTCGTCTTCATGCAAACTCATTGGTATGATGATACAAAGTGATAAAACAAGAGCTACGACATATCCAGATATTTGACTAAGAAGTAAGATATTGGTTAGTGCCATCTTTCAAATGACAAAAGAAAATTTCTTTGTTATCTGTAGGAACAGAAAATATAATCCTTGATTAATTTTTAGCAAATTATCAGACAATCCGAATGACAGATCAACCAATCTCCACATACCTGAACTTATTAGTAAACTATATACAGAAATTACTATGAACATAGACACATTCAGGCTAGTAAACATTTTAAAAATATCTTGCATCGATTACATTGACTTTTAAAAAACCATGATTAAACGATTAACTTTTAAACGATATTTAAGAAGAGCAAATTGTTTGTCGAAAAACAATTGTTTTGTTTGAAACATGAAAAATACATAACAAATAATTTAAATTGTTAAAGACAAGAATAAAGATATAATTGCTTCATACTTCGATTCGGTTTAAAGAGCAATTTGCATGTGCATTTAAGAAAGAAACACAATAAAAGGAATACATCATACATCATAATTTATCATACGATCATTTCTTCCAAAAAATCATATTCTTTCATACATGTGCATTCAAACACCTATATAGTAATATTATAATAAAAATAATTTTCACCAATATCTTATACGTTTTAAAATTAACGATGAATAAAAGAATTTTCCCTTAAATATCTTTCAAAAAGTAACATTCAGAAAAGCATAGGATATAATTATTTAATTTCATTTCTTAGCTTTTTGTATTATTTCATTCGTTATAGAAAAAGAGAAATGAAGATGCTCGCGTTCATCAAAAAAAAAAATAAAAAACAAAAAGGTTGCAAAAAAACTATAAAAATAGTTGAACATGATAAAGTTTTTACATAAAATCTAGGAAGAAAAATATAAAACGAAAAATCCATCGATACAGGAAAGGGGAGGAAACATTGGAAAACAGAGGTAACGGTCCATCTCTCTCCATAGTCAGCTGATTTCAGTCAATGAGACACCAGTGTTTCATTTCATAGCGTTTGTCCGATAGTCAGAATTCTATGTATGCGGGCGTGCATGTGTGTATGCGTGTGTAGTTGCATCCAAAGGAAAATATTACGCAGCTAGAACCCCGTTATATCCGAATCACCGTATTATGTTAAGGATCATTGCACCAAAGTGGACACGTGTTGGAAAGATGGAATTCACGTGGATAAATTGCTATTCCTACACTGTGCCCGAATAACAGGCCTAATAACGAGACGCATGACGAGAGTTACTTTCGAAAATTCCATGTCTTTCATAGATTAGATTGTTAAACGTGGGTAGAAAATATGTCTTGGTTGGGATGCATTCCTTGGTCTCAAGGGATCAAGAAACGAGCTTGCAGGTATCTCTTACAACGATATCTGGGTCAATTTTTGGAGGAAAAATTGACATTGGATCAGCTCACTGTAGATCTGTACAATGGAACTGGTCGTGTAACCAATGTCAGCCTTGATGTACAGGTACTGTCATTTTCTTTGTTTTATATTTCTTTGTTAGCCCTCGGCTAAAAATAAAGATAGGGTAATTACTTTAGGCCATGCGTGAAGTTATTTGTTTGCCTGTAATGACATTTAAAAGTGAGTAAAAAGATGTATAAATATGCATGTGAATTTTTTTTGTAACAGGCCCTTAACGAAATGGGAGAGCAACAACAACTTCCATTAGAATTTGTTGATGGTTTTATATCAGAAATGTCTGTTAGCATACCATGGTCAGCTTTGCTTAGTGAAGCTAGTTATGTAGAAGTTACCAGTTTAAGATTAACCGTTCAGCCTAGACAGAGGGCAAAAACTGGAACTTCGATGTTTGAGTCTATGTGGAGCTCTATGACATCCAGCATGCAACTTGCACAAGAGTGTTTACAGGAAGATGCAAAAAATGCTGGAAATTCACAGCCATTAGAAGGAGTTGAATTGTTTGCACAAACAATAGATTCAAGTAAGGATTTGCAAATGTTTCAGAAAAGTGGTGATAAGATGTTGTTAAGATATATATAATATTTATGTATTTCAGTTTTATGTAGAGTGAAAGTAAGATTTATAGATACTGTAATACGTTTGGAACATGTGCCACTAGATTCTTCAACAGGGGTTGCAATAGAAATGTGTATAAAAAATCTTGAATATTCGGATGAAGCAGGCTTAGATCCAAGCAGTACTTCATTAGACCCTAGTCAATCAACAAAAGGATATGTTGTGTCAGCATTCACAACAAAAAGGTTTTATTTAGAAGGTGTGACGTTCCACACAGATGAATTTCCATCTCGAGCGAGAACTTTCTCTAGAAGCATTATAACAACAAGCAGAGGTTCTACACCAGATTCTAAAGTAACATCTTTTACTAGATCTAGCAAGAAAAATATGTGACTGAACATTTTTTGAGGAAGTTTTTCTTTACAGAATTCAGATGGTCATTTTTTCTCTGCACAAGTATCTCCTACTCAAAATATGCAAACTCCTCTAGAAGCAAATATTATTAATAATTTAAACGAATCAAATCCTATAATGTTTGCTAAGTTAGCAGGCAGACAGGAAATAAGATTAAAATTAAAGCAAGGGGAGGGTGTTTCAGGACCAAAGGTAAAACCTAATTATTAATTTGGTTTATTCAATATAAAAAAGAATAATAGCTTCAAATTATAATGTGTTTGGTATGAAATGAAAGAGAATTAATTACTTCAGGTAGAATTAGAAGTGACATTGGGATCCTTTACTTCATTTTTAAGTCCACGGCAAGTGCATGTGTTATTGGAATTAGGGCATGGACTTGCTTCTCCAGATTTAGAAGATGTTAGTAATGTTGCGCCAAGGGCGTGTACGGAAAAGCCTATGGCTGATAGTGACTTTAATCGCATCGAACGAGAACTTATTCATCAAATACATCCAACTCAAGGATTACGTTCTATGGTATACTATAAAAGTTGTAATAGTGCAATTTCAAAAAATTGGAAAGAATATATTATGTTTAAAAAAATTTTCTAACAGGATTTAAGGCATGCACAAGGATGGTCGACGGCATCTTTAGATGAGTCAGATAATAAAGACGAGTTTTTACCGATGCGGTTACCTGGCTCAACATCAATGAATGATTCGATCACAAGCAATAATATTAGCATGGACGGGAGTATATTATCTAGTAGTATTAGTTTAAAAAATTCAGCAACAAATTTACCAAAGCAACAGAAACACAGGCATAGTGTGGATAATAGTCCATCTGCAGAAACATCTCATTTTCACGTAAGGGTATCTTCCATAGCTGTAATCCTATTACACGAAGACATACTAACCACGTGCGTGGAAGGAGGTGGTTTAACGTGTTCCAGTATACGTCAGATGAAAAATTCGGCGGACGAATTTTTCAAACAATTAGGAATGTTCAGAGCTGGAGGATATGGAAACAAAGACTTTGATAAGGCATCAAAAGTACTCTTAGATGCTTGCCATTTAAGTCATATTAGGTATCTAAAATTAGTATATGACAAATGAAATATGAAACCTTGAATCAAGTCCTTTATTGCTTATTATAGATTACTTGCTGCGCCGTTAGTAATTGAAGGGAGGGAAAAAAATGTTTCATGGTTCTCTGTAGTATCTGGGACACTAACTTTAGCTAGCTTAGAAATTGTAGAATGTTTAATTGATTCAAATAATTCTGGAGCAAATGCGACACCACCAACTGAATTTGTCGAACTGCTTACATTTCCAAAGGAGGATTCAACGAATTTTGGCTTCACTAATAAAACAGACTTGAAAATGAAATTTAAATATGTAGAGCATATTGAAAATACAGGATATACTCAACTATTGAAATGTGCAGATCCACATACAACAATTGAGTAAGTATATATATGTTTGAAACATGTCAGTTTGACTTAATTTCATCACATTTTTCCTTTTAGTATCGAATTGGAACCGTGCAAAAGTGAAGTGGATATAACTATTGTAGATAGGATATGTGCCCTGCTTAATCCGCAACCTATTTGCGTTTGTAATACTGTATCTAGTAATAAGAATACTGTAAGTTACCAGTTTGTATTATTACTGTATTAATTTACTAAACTGTGCAGTTTCCATTATTTTTTTTCTATATAATTTTTAGAATCAACAAACTTTATTTTATCAAGCCATAGAAAGTCCCACTTTGTCAGACTTTGCTGCTATGATAAAAGTATCTTCGTCGCAATGTACAATAAAATTAAGGTAATTTACATACACGTACATAGAAACAAAGATCCATCGAAATTATAAAACATTTCATATACAATAATTTAAAAATAGGTTTCCAATACCAGATTTGAGACCTTTGCACGATATGAATCGAGCACCATGGTGGAAGAGATCGGTGAGAACAGATTATATGATTTTGAAAATGACAGATGCACAAATTCATGCTCGCCCGCATTCAATTTTCTCGAAGAATTGTCCGCATTCTGTGAAAAAACATTTCGAAATTCAATTCCGAAAGTTACTGCTTTCGTATGCAGAAACGGAGACAGACGTTCCATTAAATATAGGCAAAGTTACAACTCATGAAAAAAATAATGCATCGTGTCAACAAGTTAACGAAGGATTTGATTGGGCTAGAATAGTTATTACAATCTATCCGCAACGTTTAAGCGATCAGCTGGAAGATAGCTCTGAAGGAGAGCCAGATTCTAGTTTCGACGAAACTCTAGAAAATACGCCTAAACATCAGCCATCTCCGTTCAGTTCAAAGCGTGTTATTCATGAATCTGACACCCCTCATTCGAAACCCCCTGCACAAGGCGACAAGAATGATTCAGAACAAAGGTTTGCATGATAGTATTTTTTAATTTACGAAAGCATGACGCGACATATATCTAACTCTATGAATTCAACAGAGAGGGCGAAGAATTAATCATACCAGGAAGTCGAGAAGAGATGTTAGAGTTTATGGACGAAGGCATCCGTAGTTCCAGAATACAATTAGAAATTAACTTCCCGTGTGTTTCCGTCCAAATACCATCGAAACATCTGTATGAATTGCTATACAATAGATTCAATACTGATCTTTTTTTATGGAAACCATCGGCGCCAAGACCGAAGTATGGCACGCACATGGAAAATCACATAGGTCTCGATTTGGCATCTACCTTGTTGCAAGAATCTATTTATCCCAGGTAACCAACATTGAAAACAGATAATATAATTTTTATATATTCGATTAAAAAGATGTATAATTTTCCCTCTTAAGATTTAGCACGTGTAAAAGCAGGATTCAGTATGATTCCGATTCGGACTCGGAGGAAGAGGGTATATTTTATTCTGCAGCCGACAAACATTATAGGCAGCATCAAAACAACGTGTCGAGGAATGGTCAGAGCAATCTAGCACTAATTTTGAATATAGATCAAGGCCTTCTCTGTATGTATACTCCTGTTCGTGACTCAATGCGCAACGTCATCCCTGGGCAACAAGGCGAATTAATAATTCGATTAGAAGATGCGACGATATTTTCGGTAACCGCGTACAAAGGAAATTCAAATCTGGGTTACGTTTGCGCCATGATAAGGGGGATGTCTTTGGATCATTGTGGATTAATGACGACTCCTTTGCAACCACCGTCACTGAGACCTATTAATAGCGACATTCCGCAACATTGTCAAAACACTATATATAAAAGCGGGCTAAACGAGAACGTAATGGGAACAAACAATAATGATGATATGGTGATGCTCGCTATTAGGATACAAGCTGCTCATCAAACTCACCGTATTAAAGTTCGTTTCTTTTTTTTTCTTCTTTTTCTCTTTTTTCTTTTAAACTCCGAATAAAATTATCATTTTCATTAATCGATTGAATAATCATAAGTCGTTTTGAAATAGACTTTCAGAGTAGCGGTAGGCATTGCAAATGCTACATTAAGGCATAGAATGTGTAACACTGGCACATCATGGTTTACGCAGTTAACAGATTGTTTGGACGTAGCCGATCATCCTGTTGCTGGATATTCTCCACCAGGAATATTAACAGAATTACACTTGCATCTTTGGAATTGCATGGTCGATTACAGGTTCTTATTTTCATTGACTTAAGCAATATTCACTAAGCACAATAATGTAATAGGGAATTTACATGATTTCAGACCAATTCATCTGCCATTAAGGTCAATGGTAACTCTTGATAATTTTAGTGTTTCCAGCAATATTGCTGCGCATACAAACACTTCAACGCTACGTTTTATAGCAGAAGATATTGCCTTGTTCATATCTAACAAATTAGGGAAAGGTGTGGATCTTCGTCGGGATTATGTGTGCGTAATGGACGTAGGATTGTTTGAATTGTCGCTGAGATTAAACGACAAAATGTGCGGTGGTGCACCTAGAGTGGATTTAAGGGCGAGCAATAACATGTTGCATGTTCGGACTTGCTCAGATTCTGCACGTGCTCTTATTCAATTGTTAACTTATTTTGCCAATGATGGAGATCTTTTGCCGAACATGGAAACCGCCGAAAGTAGTATTACCGTACCAAGTTCTGGCGACGAGGAAAGTCTTCTAGGGAATGAGTGTATTAACACTCTTAGTAAGAGTCAAGTTGAACGTGTTAACAGTTTGATGAAAGAGGCAATGGAAGAAACAGTAAAAGGTAATATCAAGTGGTATAAGAGGAAACATCCTCATCTATTCATCCACATATCTATTATTTCGTAAGAATTATGTTACAGGAATACCTTCGAATACAGACGGTAATACGTTAGTGAATGAAAATCAGGTGGAAGTGTTTTTCTTTCCCGATGAGTCTCGTCCTGCTTCACAGACAGTACCTGAAATGTATAAAAGTTCCGAGAAATATACCAAAACAGAATGTAATATAGAAGCTGAGGATCCAAACGAAGATTTTTGTATATTAGGAGAAGAAGCGGGTACAGGAATTATGCCCAGACATGGTGTTCCAGAAGTTCGTTGGCTTTGTCAAGAATCTCTAAGGATAATAGATAATCACTTCGCGGTTCCACTTGGTAAAACTGATCTACTTAAGGCGCCAAGACATTTCCCAGCTCCAATTTTAAGGTATACCCTTTGTGAAATGACTCTGATCTGGCACATGTATGGAGGAAAAGATTTTGAAGTTCTACAATCGACAGCCAAGAAACAAGTCAGTATAAATGACATTATGGTTCGTCCTAACACGGCGCCTCAGGATAAGTATGCATCCTAGTCATTAAATATTGACGTGACCGATTCATATGCATTGTACAATATATCATTTACTCTTATAGAACTAGGCCACCATGGTGGGACGGCGTAGCTTTCAATAAGTCTAATTCGAACGAAGTACATATTGGAAGTGCGCCAAATTCACCGCGTGGAAAATGTAGAGAAACAACCGATTGGCAAGTAATGGGAGGTCCTGGCCGCCGTCATGATATTTTAATGGAACTTCAGTTGAATAAAGTGCGCTTTCAACACGAAGTTTATCCGGAAAATACGACAGAAGCAGCAAGACAAATATTATTGGTAAACGAGATAGAAATCAGAGACAGATTGGCGTCCTCGCACATCAACAAGTTCTTGTATCAATATAGTAGTGAAGCAAAACCGAGGCAGTCTCACGCGAACATGTTTGCCATGAAAGCGGTGCATGTTAGACCGGACCCAAGATTAAGTGCTCAAGAATGTTGTTTAAAACTCAGTCTACTGCCGTTGCGATTAAATATCGACCAGGATAGCCTACTGTTCTTGATAGAATTTTTCAACGAATTGGGTAACGGTTCGAAGCAAGCTCAAGGAAATTCTAGTGCACCTAACAATTCGCAATCCGCCCCAGTGTCCAAGCAAGGGACACCGACGCATCACCCACCGGTTATGAGTGTGAACGATTCCGCGCCTAATGCACCAACGCCAACGAATACATCACAAAATGATAGCATAGATCCGAACTTATTGATACTCTTGGAAGATGAATTGATGATAAAAGAAAACAATGTGATGGCGAAACCGACGCATGAAGTTTACGAAGATTGTCAACCAATATATTTTAGGTAATATTAATAAAATTATAATCAATATTCGAATAATAGTTATAGGCTAATGTCCCTTTTTGATATATAATATTGAAACTTGATTTATTTGATTCATGTTAGGAGTGTGATATTTTCCCCTGAAGTCCTTGTTCGATTAGATTATCATGGAAAGCGTGTAGACCTCACTCATGGGCCGTTAGCAGGGCTTCTAATGGGCCTGGCGCAGTTGAATTGCTCCGAATTAAGACTGAAAAGATTAACACATCGGCATGGACTTCTGGGATTCGATAAATTAGTAACGTTTTTACTTTCCGAATGGTTGCGAGATATAAAGAAGAATCAACTTCCAAGTTTACTTGGCGGTGTCGGTCCCATGCACTCGTTAGTACAATTGTGTAAGTATATGTTTGTCGTATTGTAAATAAAATTCAGAATAATGTAATATATATTTAAGCACGATAATATGCTTGTTGTAGTTCAAGGAATAAGGGATTTGTTCTGGTTGCCTATCGAACAATACCAGAAAGATGGTAGGCTATTTAGAGGACTACAACGAGGTGCAAACAGTTTCACGACGTCTACCGCAATGGCGGCGTTGGAATTGACTTCTAGGTTGATACACGCTATACAAAGTACAGCCGAGACAGCTTATGATATGGTGAGTCCTGGTCCAAGCGTGAGGCGTAAACACAAGGGACAGAAAGGACGCCGGAAAAGATATAGCCAGCCATTGGATATTCGAGAAGGGATGGCTAATGCGTATATGCTAGTAAAAGAGGTAAATTATTGGAATGATAAAATACTGGAGTATAAGATCGCTAATTTTATTTTTTAATTTCAGGGCTTAGGGGAAACGGCAAATCAATTAGTTCGTGTAGCTAGCGAAGAACACGAACAAAAAGGAGTCTCTGGTGCTGTAGGAGGTGTGTTACGACAAATACCACCGACTGTTGTGAAGCCAATTATTTTAGCTACAGAAGCGACGAGCAACGTTTTAGGTGGTATGCAATCGCAATTAGTGCCGGATGCCAGACGGGAGGCAGCTCAAAAATGGCGGCAAGATTCAAATGACGCGAATTGAAGTTGCTCCTCGGAACGATGGTATAATTCGATGTTTCGATCGACTTTCGTGTGAGACATGAGAATCCATGACGTGAATGAATGAATAATGTTATAGGAGAAAAATGCGGTTGAAGTTCTTTTATCGAGATAAGAGGTATACGAAAGATGATGAGTAGTAAATTGGCTCGATGGTACATATGGCATTACCAAATCTTTTTGGACCTAAATCGCATAAATTTTGAAGAACGCAAAGCCCTTTTTAAAATGATATAACACATTTATAACTAATTGTATGTTTCAGTTTTATTGGTCTTGTTACATATTACAAAAAGATCGATCCAATTTGTTATATTTATAGTTTATAAATAAAATATATATACCATCGTGAGCATCGTTTTCATAGCTTGTATGTATTTTTGTTCTAATAATGCGTATGTTTTATACCAATGATATGTATGTGAAAAATTTCATTAATAAAATTATGACGCTTATTATTGCATGCCACTTTTTGCGCGAAATGTAATTTATTCCTAAAATATAAATTCTAAATATCCAGGAGATCTCTGAATAATTTGTGTATATACATATTCAAATAGAATATAAAATTTATCTACTGCCGATATATGGTTGGTAACTGAAGTACATATATCCACCGTTTACGATCCTTTTTACAGATGTCATAACGAGAAATCCTTGTAAATATAGGCCACCTTGTATCGCAGAGAAAAACTACACAGCACATACGATAAAAAAGTCTATGCATTAACCGCGATTTTACTAATTTAATAAATGTTGACGCGTGTGTATTCTAATCGTAACACCTAATGTATAAAACGCAACGAAAAGGTTACAACTGATACGTCTATCATATTTTTTTACAGTTGATTCGTGGTTCAAACATGCACGGAAGATGCTGCCGCCTATCGAGCATTCTAAAAATTACTGTATACTGTATATGCGTAGAACACATTGTTTTCATAAGTTACCGTGGCAATAAACAATTCTTAAGGAACAGTTTGAATCATGACTACCTTAGATACAAATAAATAACGATAACAAGCTGAAGTAGTAACGGTGAAGTTATTAACCTTACTTCTGCTCTAAATCATTTATTTATTATGAAATTACAAATGACCGAAGAAGTCGAATATCACGAAAGTCACGAAAGTCATGAAAGTTATGAAAGTGTATCAACTTATTCGGAAGAGGAAGATGATAGGTCGAAGAAAGAATCAACGTACGAAAGTCTTTTTGAAATAACGCGGGAGCACATACAGGAAGTGCAACAAGAATTATGTCTAATCAAACTGTGTTGGCCCGAAGTTGACCGCACAAAAGATCTCTACCTAAAAACACTTCCGAATAGTTATTGTAGTGTCAGCGATAAAGAGAAGCTGCTCGCGTGGTACGCCGAAAATTTTCGACAACAATTTCACGTGAAATATCCAAATCGAAAACCGCTATTGCTAGCGTGCGAAAATGAATGCGGTGTGCAAGTAAGTAAATTATTAAATGTACGATGAAGTTCAGGATTCGAATGAAACTGCGGTCTATGAATGGTTCATTTCTATCATTCCTCGTTTGTGGTTGAAAATCCTAACACCGGACTAAAATATAAAATTTATTTTAAGGCATCAATCCTTTATCACCTTAGTAGAAATTATACATGTTGGAAAAAACGTATTGTTGTAAACTTATAAAATTTTTCAAAAATTACAGAATTGGTCGTTTTGACCGTTCAGTTTTAATCATAATATACGTATTATCAAAGATAACATGCTCTATGGAAATTACGTAATTGGATCAAAGTTTGGATCATGGTGATGAATACGTTTTTATGAAAATGTCAGTTGTTTAAATAATTCTATTTTTATTTATACTTCATTTCGTTAAAATTAATCATTTTTTAAGTATTAAAATAAAGGTAGTAATCGAGACTCGAACGTTAGTTTCGATTTATCGGTTCCTTCATCCTATGATAGTTTTTTCAATATTAGGTTATTTATTCAAGACTCTCTTTCGCGTGATCGAAGATTTTTACCTCTTAAAAAACGCAGAGATCGTCCGTTGGAATAGTTATAAATCAATATACGTCGTTGGCGCGATCTCTCGAGCCGTCGCCTACTTGATTTTTAAATATTTCAAAATGGCGAACAATAGTAATGTACAGGGAATTAGTTTGCGTACTCTTTAACTCGATTTATCGTAATTAGCTGAAAAGATTCTCGAATGTTTATATATCTATAACATCATATATATTTACATCATACACTTTTTTCTGCACATTATAACACGTGTTTCGTTATTTCCCTTTATCTAAACAGTAAGTAACTTTTATACAAACGAAACGACGTTCGTGAAAAATATGTATATTCAGTGCCAAAAAAGAAACGATCCGTCTACGCAATCCACCTGCAACGAGTTACTCTTTAAAACAGACTTAACCTGTATTCTCACGTTCAAGTATCTTCCAGTAAAGAAAGTTTCATTTCTCGTTACTCACGACTACATACCTTCCGGTACATCTTTTCGATAAAAAAGATTTAAGTTAAAGAATTATGCGAATATTTTCTTGTTTCATTTGTCTTTTTTTTTTTTTTTTTTTCGTGTATTCACTCGATGAATATTTGTTTCGACTCATTATACAAAGGCATTATTCTTCTGTATAAAGATTAAAACCTGTTATAAATAAAATTATCAGCATCGAGAAATTTTCTTTGAGTCGTTCAAGAGTGTTCTTTTCAAGGGTAACGAGGAATGTCATTCTTGATGTAGACGTAGTCTTTCTCTTCGTTATCAATATTTTTTCTTATTCGTTTGTTCTTCATTTAACGTAAGTAGTGGAAATACAACTGTGTAGTAGGAATTTTTCTAATACACTCGAAACTCCTTCTACAATCTAAATAATAAAAATAAATTTCGCTATACATTTATTTATATACGTTTTAAATGAACTACAATACATAGTATGCACTTTGCGTACAAGTGCACTGTCACAGTCTTATTTACACGTACTGTCATTCGACAGTACACCCCCCTTACTTTGGTTTGTAATTGTGTGTTAGTTTTCTAAATATACTTTGCTAACAGCAAGATTATTTCCCTTTAACGCGCATCTAATGTTTCGCGCGTCATGTGACCGCAATTGAAAGAACAATCGTTTCGTCAGACTATGTTCTCTATTCCAGAAAAACGTACCTAGGAGGAAAATTAAAAAGCAAACTTATAAATGCTTCACATGATGCATGGGAAATAAAAGAAAACAGAACAAAAATAAATACACGGAAAAAGATTGTTTTTTGGGGGAGAGGGGAGGAGGGGGATAATCTTGCTGCAACAAAGTAACACTTAAGAGTAAGAAAAAGAAATTACGAAATAGGAAATATTTTTACAGTTTAAATCGTTTCTCTTGCAGAAATTCGTATCTACTACTATCAGACGAAGTACACTGCCATATCCAGACCTGTACACGTGGCAGGGATGCGGAAAATTTGTCAGTGACTATGTCGAATACGAGCCTCTGGACAAAGCACTCAGTATGGCAAGTAATTAAATGTATTTTCCAGAAAAACGCCTTATCTTATAAAGTTCTGCGACAAAGGTCCTTAATTATATATGTATACTTTTATATATAATATATAATTTCTCACCGATATAACAAACATCTTTTTGTCATTTTTTTTATTATGATTTTTTTCATTCATTTTATTTGGACCATTTAGTTTCGTGCGAGTCGCGTGCACACCATTTTAATTCTTATTATTATTTACCATACGTAAATACGCGTTAACATAACGAGAGGTAGAACTGTTTGGGATAAAAGCTCAGTCCACAATTAAATATCGCGTATATGAAGCTATGTATTAATTCTTTTTTCTTCTTAGATATATTCGCTTAATAATTAGAATGTAACGGTAAAACTAAAATACGTTCTCGACCGTAGATAATGCAGATTTGCGATCTTGATTCTTGACTTATGGCATGTATAACTGTCCCATTGGTCATGATAATGTAACGGAGATTTCGTAAAAAATGTTGAGAACGCAATATCGTCCATCGGCCGAGAAAGAACGATCGATTTCGTTCCGTTTTTTCATTTTTATATGATCGTAAGGAAATTTATCGCCGCGCGCACACGCACGCACTTAAACTAACAAGTGACAAGTTTAATCGATAATTATACCTCTCTACGAACATTTTATTTTCCGTTATAATTACAACAGTTCATTCATGATTTTGGTATAATCTCTTATGTACAAGATTCTAATAAGAAAAGTGTAGAATAATTATGATCCATTTTGATTTAACCCGACTCCTATATATAAGGTACCTCGAAAAAAAGAAACAGAAAAGAAAAATGTAGGAACAGAAAAAATGTCGAAAATATAGAACAAAAGGAGCAAAAAATAATAAATGTACGTATTTCATCGAATACGAGAGGTGTGCTTGAGAAATATATGGATCGTGTTTGATCCGTTCAAATTAAATTGACATAATAAGAAATCCGTTAAACATGATAGAAGGCAAACACTGGTTTTCCCTCTTCATGCTTGTTTTTTTGCACACATACACACACATACACAGGCGAATCGGAAACACAAGGTGTACTAATCTTCGGGAATCGGCACGAACGAAACGACAAGAAATAGAGAAAAAAAAACGAAAAAAATGAACGCGTCGTTTCAACGGGACGTGGAGTTTCAACGGGACGACGACGGCGACGACGACGGTATGTCGCGTACGATAACGTTCGAAGAGCAATAATACTCTTGTACAGCCATTTTCTGTGTCTGTTTGGGTGTCTGTTTGTGTTTTCGTCCGATTCTACCTATCTTTTTTTCACCTCGTGAGCCGCGCGACGATCGTTAACACAGTTTCTTAATATATAACTAGCATCACAGCTTCTGCCTCCTCTCTTCTCGCCTATTTTCTACTTTGTTTCGAACTAGACGACGGCTTCTTTCTATGTGCCTTCAGCCTGTCCAATAGATATTTGAATTGTATGATCTGAAGTCTTGTAACCGACGGCTCGGAGCATTTGTACATCAACCACTTCAAGAACTTCTCGCCGTGCCGGATCGCTTCCTCGCCGTTGATCGCGTCTTCGCCATTCGCCTCGTGGTTCTCCGTGGGGGCAGGGGCGGCG